ATCCTTTGAAGCTCGTAAAAAATGTAGAAGCGCTTACCATTTTTTCCATCCCAAAAACCTTAACGCACTCGTTTCCTTTCGCGCGACAGTAGTTCAGCTATAGCACGGAAACGCGCTCTCAAAATAGCTGTCTGCAATCAACCTCCTGTTTTCACTGAATTCCTCAATCCATTTTCCCTAAGCGTCTACCTAGATTTCGATAATTCCGATTAGTATTAGTTGTCATTGCAAAGTTTTCTGTCTCTTTTATATTTGATTAAATTAGCAGCTAATCTATGCTCAGTCACCTGTTTTTTTTACTGTATCTTCGCCTCTTCTGTGAACATATCTCCCGAAGGCTCCTAAGCACTCATGTTTTTCTCTGACCTGCGAAATGTCGTGATGTCGTGAGAACAAATCATGAGCATCTGCACCCATCTTAGCTCATCATGGATAGCTCCGCCATCAAAGAGCTCTAGTCTCAATCCTATCCGTTGGGCTATACGTTCGACTTTTCTCGATCCCTTGTACCTTCATGGAATGGGGCTAGACATTGTTATAGTAACCATTACCTCGAAGAAATGTCTGCTGTAGAGAGCTTCCTACCCATCTCTGCTACACTGTGCGCATCCTGGATTCCGCTGATCTCCTCCAACTTATCCTAGCTATCATAGCAGCGAGTTAAAAGTTTGTACTTATCACTATAGGGTCGCTTTATGAAGTGGTATCTCCCTTCCTTCCTTCACCGGTGCATTTGGCCCAACATCGACCTACTTATGACTAGAGTTTCTCGGTGCTCCTTTGGATTGTGCCAGATTTTACTGTACACGCAGAAAGTTTTCCAGAAGATACTCCTGAATCATATTTTTATTGAAACATCGTCTTAATGTTGTCCATTAGTCGAGTGCGCTGACTACGAACACGCAAAGCTTTTAACAGCTTTGTTGTTTAAATGGAACTACACGGTCAGAAGGCATATGAGTGCACTTCAGGAACTGCTTTTGGCCGCTTGAAATCGCCCATAATTTCACTACGAATCCAATGTGCTCTTGACCCGAGACAGCGTACTAATCTTATGTCGTAGATCTAAATATTAATGATGTACTTGCTGATACTGGACACACTTTGTGATAGGCTTTTTTCTCATTGTTAAGCCAGTAATTACCATAATTGAGAGGTGAGGCATAGCAACGGACAAGTTTTCTCCAGAGGTAATCGCTGACGTAGAGCATTAATCAGCCCATCAAGTCCTATGGGAGTTCTTGTTTATCACTGACGCCTTTTTACCTCTTACTACCATAAGTAATCTTATGAACGTGCCTTGTAATAGATTAAAGCGCTGCTTGTAGGGAGGGGTGGGGTGTCTTAGGAAGCTATGCACGATAATTTTCTGATGATTTCCGAAGCGTGACCTGATTTTCTATTTTTGAGGGAAGCGGGGATTTTAGTGCCTGAGAAATTGAAGCCTATTTTGAAGAAGGTGGTGTCAGGAAGTATATCGCTCGGCACTGGTTAGTCTGTTCTTGAAAACGTTTCTTTGTTGTACTTCTATCCAAACGAGTGACCTGGGAATGCTTACTTTGCCAGTTCACTGAAATGCAGGCCGGACAGGGGAAAATTAGATATTTTCATCCTCTCATGCAGGGTTGGAACAAGTGATCAACTTAAGAGGGATGGACAGTTCAATTGCTTAGGGCGTGTGTTGATTGGAAGTCGTCTCTCTAACTATGTGTGGGGTAAGGCTTCTACTTGTCATTGCCTAACTTCCGGCCAAAGTTGTTCTGATAACCACGACGTAGACGATTTCTGGACTCGTTTCAGTGATAAGCAGGCTATTAATTCTAGTCGTTGCCCGGGTCATGTGTCATCTTTGTTTTTGTAGTTCTCCACCAATATCGCCTCATCGGTTACAAACTTGCGCTACATAGAGTCAAATGTTACTTTTGGCTCTCAGAGGAGGATGAGAAGACATTGACAGTATGCGTTGAACTAATTCGGCATCACCATTCGATGGGGTAATTCCTAACTGATGGGCGTAATGCGTTGCTCGTTTAGGCAATAAGTGAGCCTTGCAATTAAGTAATTTTAATTCATTACATAGGTAAATTGGCTTCAGAGTTATATTTATGTGCTTGCTTTACGTCATTTTCCTCTTTACTGCACATTTCCCTTTATCCAGCCATTGTTTGACCAAGCAGATATAGTTAATTAACGATGCAAAATCCCTTTTGACAATGAGCTTATTTACGCGCTGTTCATTACTCGGACGGAACGTCTGCCTTTTAGCTTTACATTATACAAAATTTTCTCCTTCCTTTGTTGCGGCCCTTTTGTCGGCAATCTTGAGGATATTCCTTCTATACGAATTCATATGTTGTGTTCCCTCGGGCCTGACGTTCCGAACCGTTTCTGTGCTCACTGTTTGGGGCAGTATGTTGTATTCAGGTGATAATTAATGTGGCTGAAGCGGTGTTTGGAATATGATTCAACGGGAGTTTGTCCCCTGATTTTTTCCAGAGGCGATAAGGGTGTTGATTACAACTCGCATTTGAGATGTGGGAGATCTATGGATTCAATCCCTTTCATATCCCTCCTCTCATACATATGTCACTCCCCTTAACTGGTAGACTACAAAGAACTGGTACGCCAACATGATGAAAGTGATGTTATCGATGATATGGTGTGATATGGTCGCTACTAAACTAGTCGATACGTCCAATCCTTTCATCCATTACACGAGCAACTCATACAATCGCTTACTACACGTGGGGCTTTTTGTTACGGTTTTCGGCTGTTCTCGAATCTCTACTCATTGCTTACGATCAAGTCAGGACCACCACCTTGGTGTTAAGAATTACGTTCCGCCCTTACGTTTTTTCTTTGTTTTTCGGTTCCCTCTAATTATCCTCCCAGACGATTATCTTACCAATCAACCGACCCCGAATGGATAGAGATGTTGGTTGACCTCAGCGGGTGTCGATTCAGATTTGAGGCCCGAACGATGCCTGCTCTAGAATATCATCCATAGTGACATGGTTGGTACCTCGGGTAAATATTGAGCTCCATATATAGACAACCACTATCCTGTTTTTTCCGTGGCAGAGGTGGATATTGTCTGACAAGCGCTTGTTGATTTCAATAGATTTATGAGATCTCTCTTGGTAATCAATCCGTTTATCAAAGCATAAGCGAAATTTGATGACTAGCTTGCAAACCAGTACACAAGATGCACCAAAATCCATAGCATTACGTTCTGAGCTCTGTTCAGGCAAAGGAAAGAAGTCGAATTCTCAAATTACCTGCTACTCTGATATAGTCTTCACAAGTAAGCATTATACCTCAAAATGTATACGAAAAAGGAAGGACCATAGCGTAGGCTACGCCCAGGCCACGAGCAACTGTGTTCGTCTCCTACATTTAATTGCGACGCGACTTTCCAATT